CCCCGGGTCATCCTCAATCCCCTCCTCCAGCCTGCCCTCCCTTGCTCATTCCATGTTGAGCGGCTCTGTGCCAGCCGCCATGCTGGGCATTTCAGGCTTGGAGACAAAGCCCCCGGCACTGGCCTTCATGGTGTGTCCCTCTGTCCAGGGCAGGGGAGAGCGAGTCCCGTTAGTCCCATAACCAGAGAACTGTGAGGGCTTCTGGAAGAGGCTGAGCTCTGCTGCATGGGTGGGGGCAGTGGAGGGCAGCGGGAAGACTGGCAGTGATGTGCAGAGGTCTGAGAGGATCGGGAAGCTGTGGCTGTGACTTGGGCCCCGGTGAAGGTACTGAGAATGCCGTGTGAAGAGCGTGGGTGGCAGGGAGCACAGGGTTAAATGCAAGGAGGTGGAGTGAACAAGGAGGCCCAGGGAAGAGGAGTCCAGGATGGTCCTGGCTTGGGTGGAGAGGTGGAACGTGGGGTCATCAGCGACCATCCTGTTAGCAGGTGTGGCCTCCCTCTTCCCTTCACCTGTCAGATTCTTCCTCCTTCTCCTGCAAGCGCAAATCACAAATGGTGCCCCCTCTCCGAAGCCTGAGGGATTCTCCCTCTGCGGTCTCCAGACCTGTGTTACCGCAGCAGCAGCAGCATCCAATGTTTATTGCCGCAGTCTGTTGTTACCGCACAGCCCTGACTGTGGATTTCATGAGATAGGAGCCTTTGATCCCTGATCCAGGGCAGATTACATCAGCAGATGAAGGCCCAGCTGCAGCCTGGGCCGTCCCAGGGCACAGGGAGCAGACACACCCTCTGGCTCAATGGCTCTGCTGGGACGTCCGCTGGGCCCCGTCCTCAACACTGGGTGCTGTTCCGGTCAGGATGCATTTGCTGAGCCTTGGCGAGCACACACTCAGCAGGCACCATCGCCTCCTGCCACCCTCCCACCACAGTTGCCCACGAGTGACCAGGATGCCTGCTTGCCTTCAGTGCGACCTTTGTGGGCCCCAAGCCCCAACGCCGCCTCTCTTTCTCTCCAGCCTCTAGGGCGGGGATGGGAGATTCCACCGCGCAGAGGTACAAGGGGTGCTAAGAGACATGCCCCCAGCGATGTCACACCCTTTTGATAGTGAACAGCAGCCAGCGAGGTGACCTGCTCCACAGACCCAGCAGCCTCCTAAGTGGCCTCCTGGCTTTGGCCCAACCCCTACAGTCTCTTCCCCACTCAGCAGCTGAGGGAGACTTTTTTTTTTTAAGAGACAGAGCGAGACATCATGTTGTTCCACTTATCTATGTACTCACTAGTTGGTTCTCATGCAGTGCCCTGAGCAAGATCGAACCTGCAACCCTGGTGTATCAGGACGCTCGAACCAACTGAGCTAAGCAGCCAGGACCCAAGGGAGACTTTAGGAATTTAAACTACATCGTGTCACACCTCACTGACAGAATAACCCCTTAAAACTCCAGATCAGCCAAGTACAGGGCCTCCTTCTTCCTTTCTGACCTCACTTCCTGTTCCTCCCCCTCCCACTCACTCCCTTCCAGCCACACCCACCCACCAGGCCCTCCTGCAGAGCATCTGCATGTGCTGAGCCTCAGCTGGCAGGCCCTTCCCCAACGCCCCCACGGCTCCCTGCCTCACTTCCTGGTGGTCCTGCCTGCACACACCCTCCTCGGAAAGGCCTTCCCCGTCCCTCGCTCTGTGTGAGACAGCGCTCCATCGCCCCGTCTCATCTTCTGCACAGTGCTTGTCACTCCCCGATATGTTATCCGTTCATTGTTTATTCTACTGGCAATAATAAATGCTCAGAAAATGACAGTTTTGTATGTTTTGATCACCGCTCTATTCCTCAGTGTGTAGAATAGGAATGGGATGTGGTAGATGCTTAACAAATATTTGTTCTATGCCAAACAGCACTTCCTTCCGCCCACGTGTGAAGCCCAGGATCCCCCCCATTTCTCAGGTGTAGAAACAGATTCAGAGAGGCATGGGCCCTGTCTGCAGTCACATGAGTTTGTCAGAGTTGGAGCTGGGGCTCAAACCCAGCCCAGTCCGGCCCCTCTGCCTGTCCATCATCTCATTTCCCACCTGAAAAATAAATAGTACAGCTGGCTTTGCCCTTCCCTCCCCCTGGGACGGGCAAGACTGACAACTGCTGACTCTTAGCAGAGCCTGAGGTGGCCCCTTCCTCAAAGGTCCCACCCAGGAGTCACAAGGAGGCAGCCCCCCTCCCCCACCCCCACCCCCGGCAGGCCCCGCTTTGATACTGCCCACATTTCCCTGGACCCCACGCCCTGCCCCCCCACCCCACTGACAGTGGTTTTCAGCCACCACTGTCCCCAAAACCCACTCAGAATGGGTCTGGGGAGTGCTTTTCTGGCCTCTACCCGCCAGAGGCACAGCGGGAAAAAGACAAGAGACACAGAGTGAAGGGGACGCTGTGCAATGACCTGACCATGCCGGGCCCTCGAGCTCAGCGCCTCCGTGCGGCTCGGCCCCACACAGCAGGGTCACTCCCCCAAACGCCCGCACAGACTGGCCGTCTGACCAACCCCTGCCCTGTGCCCCTCGGAGGGCTGGCTCGTGCCGGTTCCGGACCAGGCCTTTGCCCTTACATCGTCTGGGGTGGGTCACACCCCAGTCTGCCACTCATCCTGCCCTGTCTTATGCAGCCCCTCAGCTCCTGCCATGTGGTGCAGAGGACACCACGTCACTCTGCTGCCACCGAGACAAGCCTCAAACATAACCCCCCTTCCACCTCTCTCCATCCTGAAACATTTTATGTAACGGGGGATGGGGGCAAAGAAAGGCAGGTGGGAGCGGGGTGGCTTACAGAGAATGAGGAAGAGACAGAGACACAGAGACAGACAGGAACAGAGAGGGGGGAAATGAGGGGGTGGGAGCCGAGAGGGCAGTGAGACTTGGCGAGCTCCGACATACAGACGTGAACCCACAGCCTGACCAGGGCCACTGCCAGCCCAGGGGCCCTTCGGAGACAGTGAGGAAGAGGCACCTTCCCTGGGTTTCAGAGTCCTGTCACTCCGAGCCGAGCGCCCCGGTACAGGGCCCACCCGCTCAGCAGGGCATGGCAGCCCTCCCCGTGCCTGCCTATGCACCCAGGAGGGGGTGGCAACTTTAAATGCCACCCAGTCCTCCGGACTGACCCACAGATGCATCTGTGGTTCCCTCGAAACCTTTCAGAAATGCCAGGGCCCTCTCCGTGTGGGTGCGGCGTGAGCCTGGGCCCAGCCCTCTGCACTTGCCTGCTGGGCCTTCTCCCACAGCGCGTCCTTGGGCCGCGGCCCCACTGCCTTTGCCGCCCATCCCCAGAGGGCAGCCCAGGGCCCTGAGGTGCTGGAAAAGGCCATCACGTCCACGCCTGCTTCCTGCCCCTACACCAGCAGCCGCCCCTCCCAGCTGCACAGACCTTCCTCCCTGCAGATCATGGGAAGTGGGTGCGGGTGGGCACAGAGGTGGCAGGACCCTCATTTGACTAGGAGGGAGAGAAAGGAGCGGAGTCCCTCTTACTGCAGCAGGAACTCTGGCCCTCACAGCCTGAGCCTGAGGGGGGTCTGGCCTACCCTAACCCGCCGCGCCGCTGGCCGCCACACCCAAGGCAACAGGGGCAGGGGCCGAGCTCCGTCCTGTCGTGCCCTGGGCCCAGGGCGCCCTACTCAAGCAGGCACCACTGCCACCAAGTTTGGGGCCCATCAGGAAGGGAAGGAGGAGAAATAGCCTCATGGGGAAAATGCAGGGGAGAGCAGCGGTCTAGCTGCAACCAGGGAGCCCACAGGATGCCCTCCAAGGCCCTCGCCCCACCCCACAGCCAACACTCAGGGAGGATGTGATTAGGGCACAGGTGAGTCATGTGGCCACAAGGCCCTTTCGCTGGCTGACTCAGGACAGCAGTCTGCACCGGCCCTTCCACCAGCTCAGCGGCTGAGTCAGGGATTCCAGGGGCCATAGCCAAGAAGCACAGCAGAAAGCCCCCATCCTACTCGTGGGCCACCTGCTCTCTCCAAGGTTGGGGGATGGGAGGCAGGGACATCACCTTCCCCTGGGCTGGGGTGGGGGGGGGCAGGAGGCCAGTCACTGCAGTCCCCCTCCCCCTCCCCCAGGCACAGTCCATCCCACAAAGGGCTGTTGTTGATCACGTGATTGAGAGAGGCCGCCATGTTCTGATACTGAACTTCAGCTAAGCAACAGGCCCCAGGCTATACCCAGAGTGCGTCACACAGCGTCTGTAAATAGCAGTTGTGGGTTTTGAGAAGAGCTGGGGCAATGTGAGATCTCTCTCTCCCTCTCTCCCGTTTGCTAGAGCCTCAGAAGCAGGACCCTGTGCAGGGAAGGGAGGAATCCTGGTTCTGCCCGAGGCAGCAGCACGGTCTGGAGTGCAAAGGGGGCTGGCCCCGCCTCCCATTGGACCACTGGTATGAGGGTGTGCCCCTTCATGGCCAGTAAGGTCACAGCCTCGTGAACCCCCAACTCAAGCCTGCCCTTGCTGCCTGGCCTTCTAGATGTCAGGACCTCATTTGCCCACGACATGTAGAGGTGCCCAGTGCTGAGAGCATGGCAGGGTGGGCTGCAACCAGGGGCAGCAAAGACAGGGCCTGCACTGATCTCAGGGACCGTCACCTGCCCCCAGCCCAGCCCCTGAGGCAGTCCCCACGGTCCCAGGGCTGCTTTCCTGGCTTTGTCCCTGTGCTGGCTGGGCAGGAACTTCCTGCTGGAGAATTACCGGATCCTCCCTGCGAGGCCCCAAGTCAGGCCTGGGAACTCAGGCCGAGGGGAGTCAGGGACACTCCTGCTGACGGGTGCTGGACCAGGGTCCTCCCCACCCCGGTCAGGTGCACACCTCTCCTGTCCTCCTGCTCAGATGCCCCACTGCGCCCCACTGGAGCCCAGGCCCTGCAGCCCCAGAGGCACAGACTGGGGACTAGACTGAGAGTCCAGACACACTGAACTTGTTCACGGGTGAAGATGAGGGTCAGGATCCACAGACAGACAGTCAGACAGCCAAGGAGGCCAGAGTCAAACAGGGCTTTATTAATAACATCACAGGCCTGAGTCGGATTGGTGAGGACAGTCTGCTGGGCAGGCCCACCCTGCAGACACAGGGACACCATTTATCCCAAGACCCCCTGGTCCCGGGAACTCCTTGGATGTTCCCTGAGAAGAGGGGCTGTGTCCCTGCGCAGGTTCCAGGGACCGGGGGCAGGGCAGACTCGGGCCGGCGCCAGCTTCACTCTGGAGGCCAGTTTCCCATCTCGTCCATCTCCTCAAGGAGCAGGTGCTGGGGGCAGAGTGGGTGGAGGAAAATGCTTCAGCATCTTGGGGCTTTGCCTCCCTGGCTCTGCAGCCCAGAACCTTCCCACTTACCCCCCAGAGACAAGCACCCTGAGGCCACTCTTTCCAGACCCTCTACCACATCCCCACAGCTGACCCAGACCCACCAACCCTGGGCCACCTCCCTCTCATAAATCAGAGGGACCTTTCTCTCTCCAACTTGGGGTGTTCCTTTGAAGCCCCGGGAGCCCAGCACCCCAGCCAGCCCCTCCCTGCCCTCACCTCTGTGCTATACACCACACTGGGGGGGCTCCGCACCCCTCTCTCCAGCCTAGGGTGGTGCTTCAGCTGCCTTAGTGCCTCTCTCCCAGGTCCCCAGCATTCCCCAAAGGCTGGGTGGTGGCTTCCTTCCCCATCAGCTTGATGTCCCTGCGGGCAGACAAGAAGAGAGTGGAGTGTGGTAATGAGGACGAGACCTCTGAAACCCCCACGGGAGGAAGATATTCCCGAGCCAGCTGTGTCCCCAAAGTAAGGACCGAGCTGGGCCCCCACTTGCCACCCCCCCAGAAATTCTCTGGGGCCCCTCCAGTGCTGCTCAGGCTACTCCAGGACTCTAACCCCTGGGGTAGGGGCAGACCAGCTCAGGGGGTGGTCCTGGAGGGGAGAAAGAGGGGAAATGCAACAGTGAGGGGCCCTGCCACAGCTGACTGCCTGTGTGGGTGAGGGACCCACAGCACAGCCCTTGCTTCATGGGGCACCGAGGGGCCCCCTGTGATAGGGGCTGTGGGCTCAGGACGACGAGAAGGGAGTCAGAGCCCCGCAGAGGGCGTCATATCCCTAATACTGGTGCGCCCTCCCTGTGCAGGTGTGGCGCGTGCATTCTCCATCTCCTCTGACCCTCCTGGCAGTCCCCTTCACAGGCAGAGGCGCCAGGGCCTAAGGTCAAAGTCACAGAGCAAGTCAGAGCCAGAGCAGGGGCTGGCCCCCAAATCCTGTGCTCCTTCCTTTTGTAAGCCAACAGACTGACAGGGCACATGTCCACTGAGTGAAGGAGTAGGCCGACGAATGAATAGGAATTAACTCAGAAAGGACACCAACAGACGCACCAATGGGCAGTCAGAGAAGCTGGGACAGACATAGTGTTTCACGTCCATGTCAAGGAGGGTGGGCAGTGCGCGGTCCTTGGTGTGACCCAGCGGGGTAACTGCCCGCAGCCATGTGTGTGTGTGAGAGTAGGTATGGGTGTGAATGGGAGAGGAAACAGACAACGAGCAACACTGTGCGAGTTACAGGTGTCCTGGAAAGGTTTAATGCCACCTAGACAAGTCCCTTCATTGTACAAATGAGGAAACTGAGGCCCAGAGAGGGAAAAGGACCTGCCCAGGTCACGTAGCAAGTAAATGGCAAAGTTAAGCCTCAAAAGGGGACATTTGGACTCTGGGTCAAATGTGAGGCAGAGAGACTGCGGGAGAAGTATGTGTGAGGGCAGGGTCCTGGCCCCGCCCTCAGGAGCACCACCACCAAGGAGGGATTTTGCTTTCCCTACCCAGGCAAAGGGGATGGGACTGGGACTGGAGCCAGGCAAGCGCTGGTGGAAATGGCAGCCTCCAGCCACACCTTTGCCAGTGTCCTCAGGCAGGGTGGCATACCTGGTCGTCCACAATGCCTGCCTCCTCCGGGGAGATCTCGGGATGGACCAGTGGCTCCTGGCCCTCGTGGCCGCCCATCTTCCAGAGGTGGGACTCCTGCTGTACCACCAGAAGCTTCTCTAACTCTGACTCCATGCAGCCTGAGAGCCGGAGAGATGGGCAAGGGACAGGCAGGAATGGGGGGGGGCAAACTGCTGGAGGTCGCAGGAAGAGGAGGTGGCACTGGCTCTCCAAACCTCATCCTGGCTGGCCCTGTGCACTCTCCCGTCACCCCAGCCATAGTGCTTTCTTCAGCTATTCCCTGGAGCCAGCCAGACAGCACCTCCCCACTGCCCTGCTCTTTCCATGGGCTCCCATCTGAAAGCATGAGTGTGAGTCTCATCACCTCCTGGGGAGAGCCTGCAAAGGGCAGGTTATCTGCGCCCCCTCCAGCCACCAACTCAAAAGCATGGGTCTAGAACCATCCAAACGTCCTGGGTTCAAATCTCAGCTCTGCCACTGTACTTACTAGCTGTGTGATCTTGGGCAAGTTACTTAACCTCTCTGTGCCTAGTTTCCTCACTGTGAAGTGGGGAGTAAATAGGACTTACCTCAGAGTCATAATACGTTGTTTTATGAAAGGTGCTTGGAAGAGGATGTGGCCCATAGAAATGACTATGTAAATGTCAACAATGATTTTACATTATCACCATCCCCCATTCTCTCATCTGCCCTCAGGGACACCCTCTGGTCACAGCAGTGCATATATGATGGGAAAACCAGAGATGGAGGTGGCCACTGAAAAAGAATTCCAGGCCAGGGAAGAGTGGTGCTGGAGGAGCCACAGCCCCAGTCACAACCTTCACGTTGCGGTCTCCCAAACTGTGAGGGAAGAGGACCCTAGCCAGAGGGAGCATGGCCTCCAGCCCAGACAAACACTGACCCCCTTCTCGGGAGGCCAACTTATGTCCTATGGTACCACCTGGTGGTAAGAACTGGTATCACACCCAAGTACAGATACCAAAATGGGACTCCCTGGGCCTGGGGCATATTGGGAGAGGGTGCGGGGATGCTGCACTTACCCACTGTATCTGTTGACCTAAATGTCTTATGCAATGGCGACTGGAGGGTGACAATGCCTGGAACACAGAGCTGGAATGAGCTGTCCTCTTCCTCCATTTCCTCTTCCTCACCTTCCTCCTTGTGGGGTAAGCCTTCCTTTATAGGAAACTGAGAGTGTGTCTTTCTGAGCAGGTGAGAAAGGCCCCAAGCCTGCAGCCCCATCCCTCCGTAAAACAAAAAGCAGGAGGGAACAGCTCCCAAAATGTCAAGGAAGGGACTGCTCACACCACATATCCCAGCCAGATGTGGGGAGGGGCTCACCCAGACCTCCCCCACTACTACCCCAGCTTGGCACCACAGACCTTGGCCATGGCCAGTTTCTGAAGCTGCTTGTACAAGGTGAGGAGGTGGCTCCAGGGAGTTGCCCCCATGTTCAAAGAGGCCAGCCCGAGGTCTCCTGTGAACAGCAGTGTCATCAACCCTCTGATAGCAATGGCGGGGGTTGTGGGGTGGGTGCCAGGCCCAGGACCAGGCCCAGCAGGGCAGGGACCTCTGGAGGGTTGAGCTAAGGGTAAGTTTTCCTGGTTTGTTTTCGCAAATACCTACTATTTGCCAGGCACCGTTCTGGGCACTTTACAATGCACATTTTGTTTAATCCTTGCTACTGTCTTCTGAGATAGGTACTATTGCATTCTAATTTTATATGGATGAGAAAACTGAGACACAGAAAGGCTGAGCCGTTTGCCACTCTCCTAGTTTGGCACCGTGGAGTAGTGGGGCTGGACCCCAGGCAGCCTGCCTCCAGCATTCCCTTAGACTGTCCTTCCAGGCCGCACGCCCCTGCAGAGTCCTGGAGGAAGAGGGCTGGTTTCTGGCCCTACCCTGCACCTGTGGCACCGCACTCACCGTCCAGCAGACACTCCTCCTTCTCCTCCCTGGTGAAGACTTCGGGGCTGACCTCCAGTGGTCCCGTGGCCCTCTGCTTCACCTCCAGGGCTTGGGGAAAGTGGCCCCTGATCCCAAAGCATAGCCAGGTGGGAGTGGCAGGTAGGTCCTGACACCCCCCACAACCCCCAAGGCTCTCCCACAGGCCCTGCTCAGCCCCTCTGTTCTCCTGCCCCCCAAAGCTCCCCCCAGGGGCTTCATCCTGGAGGTATGGTGTTGGCGGTGGGAACCAGGAGGGAGAGAGTGGGGAAGGCAGGCAGGCAGGATGGAGAGGGGCCAGCAAAGGACCCGGGAAGCAGTGGCAGCCAGCTCACCCTGGCACGCTCCTGTCTGACCCCCAGCCAGTCCCCTTTTCCTTTCGGAGCCTCCCCCACAGCCCGTTATTTGTGAGAGGACCCTCATCCCTGCTTCCTCTGTGCCTCGGTCCCCTCCACACACACCCCATCTTCAAATGCCTCCTCACTCTTCATTGGTCCGTTCTTCCCATCCAGGTGCCCTGGTCTGGTCCTCAACCCATCCAAGTACTCCCATTCCTGGTGCCACCCCAGTATGTGCTCTGCCACACCCTTCCCCGAGCTTACATCCAGGCTTTGTTCTAGTACCTCCACCCCAGGCCCCTTCCCACCACCCACAGCCCAGTCCCTCACCTGTCTGAGGTCCCTGTATCCCCGGAGGCCTCCTCTGCTGCCTCTTCCTCTTCCTCTTCCCTCTCCTCCTTCTCAGACAGATTGCCTAGAACCTCCAGGCTTTCTCTGGGCAGGACCGACTTTACCTCTACACCTGGGGCCGTGATGCTCAAGACCCCAACCCCCATCCCCAGCCCTGAGGGATCATGCTGTGGCAGGGCCACAGAGAGGGTATGGGGCACTGAGGCTTGCAGCCTGGGGTCCTTCTTCCCCACTTCCCCCTGGCCGTCTGTCATCAAGGACGCAGCAGCCAGCTCTCTCAAGGGGCACTGCTGATCTCCCAGCAGCGCCTTGTCGGAGCTCTTTGGGCTGCCCTTGCTCCCCACCAGGCTACGAAAAAAGTGGAACATGGAGGAGCGGCGCAAAATTTGCGATCCAGGGGTTGGAGCTGGGCTCTCCATCCTGAGAGGGACTCTGACTCAGAGTGAGGGGCAGAAACAGCCTCCCCAGGACCAACTGCTTAAGAACAGGATGAGTTTTCAAATTAAAAGCAACAGTTGGAAACTTCCAGGAGTTCTAGAAGGCAAAGGTCAGGCAGGTGGGAGGTGGGGAGTGATGGGGGGACATGGTGAGGGGATGAATTAGGGGCAGAAAGGACAGGGGGCTTATAAGGCAGGGGAGGAGGCATAGGGAGCCAGTCTGGGGGTAGGTGGTGAGGAAGGATGTGGGTGGGGAGTGGGAAGAGGAGGCTGGGGGCAGCCCCCACCCCACCCCCCTGCCCCCGAGAATGAGGCGAGGGCCCTTGAGGACTCGGCCCACCCTCTCCACCTGGCTGGTCCTGCCCCAGGCTGTGGCTGCTTCTGTCCTTGAGAACCAGTGCTGGCAGCCGGACACCATCCGCCCTTGTTCTCTCCCCTGCGAGGACTCGGCTTGCGTGTGCCCAGGTGGGAGCGCAGACCGCACGCACTGTGCTTTCGTCTGTTTGCCTGCCTATCACCGTCAGGATTTCTATCTCCAGCAACCACTGAGGTGCCTGGTACACCTAGTTGCTGTGGAATCTCAGTTTAATATTATTATTCCCCACAGCGCCTCCAGACTTGATTACAAACCCAGCTCGGTGATTTGGGAGAGTGCCTCAAACCAGCTGAGCCTCAGCTGGCTCATCTGTACAGGGCATGAAGTTGAGGGCACCACTTCCAAGGGTTCTTGGGAAGGTTCAATGAGATAATACTTACTGAAGTGCATGGCACCGGTGGGGCTTAAGAAACGTCACCGTTGTCACCGCCGGGGCTTTTTTACTGGTATTGATTGATGGGAGGGAGAAAAAAAGATCAGGGGTGGGAAAGCAGTAGGGGAGGAGTTACTTGCCTGGCTGGGCTTAGGGTTGGGGCGGGGGCAAGCCCAGGCCACCCCCCGGCTGGGAGCACATCCGCATCCGGCGGCCAAAGAGCAACTTCCTCTAGAGGAAGCTGATTGGAGCCGGGAGCAGCCAGCGCCTCTGTGATCGCTGAAGCCTCTTGGGTCTCCAGGGCTGTGCTGGGGTGAGCAGAGGCTGTGTCCAGACACCAGGAATTCACTGACACCTGTTCTGAGAAGCTGGGCCTGGGAACCTACCCCTGGAGCAGCCCCTCGGGATCTCCAGCCTTGGTCCCGCTGAGCCATCCCTGGCCTAGGCCAGGGTCCAGGCAGGTAATCAGGGAGGGTCCCGCCCATCCTCTCCACTCTCGGCAACCCCAGGGCAACCCCAGGTTCCGGGCGGGGCAGGAGGCCCCGGGGAGCCGGGTGGGGAAGGAGAGGCTTCCCGGGGACCTTCGCCAACTCCTGCTGGGGGCCTGATCCAGCCAGGGCTCCCTCTGGCTGCTCCGCATGCCCTGGCCCTGGGTACCTGAGAATGAGGTGCCAAAGAACCAAGTCTTTCAGCAGTCGGGGGGGCAGGAATGGAGGACAGAGCCAAGGTCAAGCGCTTGAGAACTCTTAACTGCGCTTCCTGCTGCCCCAGGAGCCCTAGACGGGGTCTGCAGCCCAGCCAGGCATTTCTACTAGGGATCATTCTCAGCTCAGCAAGCCCAGTAGGTGGGGTGCAGGCGACTCCCCTTAAGGGGAAGTCTTGCCAATTGGGCGGGACAGGGGTAGGCCCAGGTCAGCGGAGGCCTCTGGCCCTGGGGCTGTGGTGAGGCTCCACCCGCTCTCCGGCAGTGATCCCCAGGGTAATGGGAAAGGGAGTTGCAGGTGTAGTCAGCATCCTCTGGCCCTGTTGTCCTGGGGTGCTTGGCTTTGGGGACCAGGGGAGACACAGGGCCATCTTCCAGAAAGCTACCGGGATGGGGTGTGTGCCAGGCAAAGCCCTATTCTGAGGAGCCCAGGGATGGAGGAGAGAGGCTCTGCCTTCTCCCCGGCCCCACCCTGGGAAAGGGGGAGCGGACAGCCAAGTCCAGGGTGGTCCAGCCCTCCCCCACCCGCGCTGAAAGAGTCCGTGGGGCACTTTCAAAAATGGCCCTGGCCTGAGAGAAAGGGGGCGAGGGAGGGTATTCCTGCCTCTCAGGGAGAAGGGGTGGCTCTGCCTGGCCCAGCTGGGGTGTACCCTCCCCAGGAATGCAGGGAGGGGCACCCCGGCCTGGGTGATGGAGCAGCTCGGTGGTGGGGGGAAATGAAGGGGGTGCGAAACTGAAAGTGAAACAGCTCACATCCAGGAACTGCTCCCGGTGTGGATGGGTCACAGAGCCGGTCTGGGCCGTGGCCCGCGGGGCAGGGGAGCAAGTGTAGGGTGAGAGGGCGTGTGTGAGAGGCAGGCTGAGGGCCTGGAGAAGACCCAGGTATAACTAGGGAAAATTGCCCTGGAAAGGACATCCTCTGAGATCCACTAACTGGAAAATAAGTCTTAGCTGAAAGCTGAGTATATGGACTCATGGAGATTCAGATAAGCAGCCTCACTCCCTGACTAGCTGTGTGGCCTCGGGCACTAATCCCTCTGTGCCTCACTTTTCCCACCTGTGAAATGGGTTTGACGATGCTTACCTCGCCGGGTTAATGTGCGATTTTGTTGTCTGACACCCCCTGGGAGTGTTGATACATGGTAGAAGTATACCATGGGCACTCAGAAATGTTTGTGGCTAACAGGCCTCAGTTAGAAAACAGGTGTGCTCTGACCAGCCTAGGGGGAGTGGGACCTCTGAGGTCGGCCTCCGTGGGTCACCAGCTGGAAGGTGGCAAGTTTGCAGTAAGCAGGTGCTGGGCGGGGTCCAGAAGGCTCCAGGCGTGAGGTGAAATGGGACCTGAGAAGCACCAGGGCACTGCTGCGGCCACCCCTCCTCTGGCCCTGGACGCCAGGGTGCAGGTCCGCTGGGGTGAATCTTGGCTGCATTGTTTTTCTTACCCCTGGGCTCCCCTGAAGAGTTGCCAGTAAAGTATGAGTGGTTGAAGCTGGGACTGTGGAGTCCTTCTGGGAGTCCAGGCCCCTTCACTCCCCATGTGCTGTGGACACCTCTTGTCAGTGGTCCCTGCTTGTCCCCATCTCGGCCTTTTCTCACTCATCCCCACAGACTAACACTGCTGTCCCCTGAGCCCTGAAAGATGGCGTCTGGGCAAGGACCAGGCCCTCCCAGGCAGGACTGTGAAGAGCCTGCCCCGTCCTCTACTTCAGGTAAGGGTCTTTCAGCCCCCTCACCCCTCCCATGACCACCAGGGCTGTCTGGGAGGCAGAGAGAACAGAAGTGGACAGGGCCAGGCAGAGCTTATGGGCAGGCTTTCCTGCCTCACTTTACTCACCTTGGATATAGGAGAAAATATCTACCCACACAATGCAAGTGGCCTTTGGGCTCAGGCTAGAGTGAGGTCAAGTTTAAGCCCTGGGAACAGGGAGGAGCCTGGGCTAGGGTTGCTGCAGAGACTGGGCACAGCGCCATCCCAGGGTGGGCAGGGGGTGGGCGGGGCCGAGGAGAAGGAAGAGTGGGGAGTGGCTGGCCTATCCATGCAGCAGGAGAAATAGGGAAGTAGTTGGCTTAGCAGGAGTCAGGTCTGCTCAACAGGGAAAATAATTGCTACGACTTTGGGGAGGAAGTAAGACTGCTGCCGTTCTTCTTCCAAGGGGACCATCAGAGAAGCCTGCGTCTTGCAGTCACAGGCTGTTCCCTGGACTTTGGGTTCAGTCCCAGGTCTGTTACTATTTTCCTATGTAGTGTTTATGGCCCCACATTCCCGAAGTCATATGGGCTGGGTCCCCTGTGCTCGCCAAACTCGGGGCCCAAATACCTGGGGTTATATCCTGGCTCCACTGCTCATTCTGGCTGTGTGACCTTGTGCAAGTTACATTCCTGCCACCCTGCCCCCGTGACTCAGTTTCCCCATCTGTAAAGTGGTCATCACCTACTTCACAAGGCTGTTACAAGGATTAAACGGGAAGTGCCAGAAGACTAACTTACACAGAGTAAGCACTAGGTGTTAACTAAGGGGAAAGAAGAGCTACTGCCTTGAGGAAGAGTAACCATCCCCAAAACCATGGGGCTACCAGGTCCAGCCCTCCCTCCCTGACTCCCGGCTTTGATCCTCAGAGGAGCAGGTAGCCCGGGACACAGAGGAGGTTTTCCACAACTACGTTTTTTACCGCCATCAGCAGGAGCAGGAGGCTGAGGGGGCGGCTGCCCCTGCTGACCCAGAGATGGTCACCTTGCCCCTAGAACCTGCCAGGTGAGCAGCAGCCCCACAGGGATGTCTTCAGGGAGGTGGAGGTTCACAGGGGTCACCATGCAGATCCTGGGAGCTGTGGAGACCTGGGGGCGGGGAGGGTCTTGCCTTTCTTTTGTTCCTTTTTCATCTTGGGCTCTCACCCTCAAGGGGGCCCCTGTTCCTGGGCCTGGCCCTTGTGTCTGAGAACACTGTCAGGACCTCCAAGGAGGGGTGCACAAGGCCAGGGGCGTCTCGGGCAGAAGCCCAAGCTGTAAGCCCGGGCCCCAGGCCTGAGTACTGTCCGTCACTCACCTGCTGCCTCCTGCTCCTCCAGCGTCATGGGGCAGGTGGGTCGGCAGCTCGCCATCATCGGGGACGCCATTAACCAGCGCTATGACGAGGAGTTCCAGACCATGCTGCATCACCTGCAGCCAACCGCAGAGAACGCCTATGAGTATTTCACCAAGATCGCCTCCAGGTAGCCCTGGCCACTGCCTCTCTGCTGCGCTGTCACCGCTATGCTGTGCCCTGCCCAATTGATGGGAGACACACACTTCTCTGTCAGTGTCAGGAGACATGTTTGCTGTCCCTACATCTGCATTAACTCACGTGTCTTTGCTCACTGGGTCCCAGACTCATCTCTGGTACATGAGCTCAAAGTCTGTGAGCTCTGGCTCCGGGCATTTGACTGGTTAAATCAGGACTACAAAAGGGCCCAGGATGGGGACATTCCTGAGCCCCACCCCGGCTAGGACACAGCTGTCCTTCTGATTTAGAACCACATTTCACACCAAAGATGGTAAGGCAGCCACCTGCTACCAGATCCCAGAAATGGCTTCCGTATGCTGAAGCCACATGGGCAGGTGGGTGTGGTAGTTACAGAGACCAAATACCTGGGTCATAGCTCAGCTTTGCCACCTACTGGCTTTGTGAAAGTTTCTAGCCCCCTCTCCCCTCCTCTGTAAGATGGGGGAAATATGCTTAGTACGGTGTCCACACCTACAAGGTGTTAGCCATTGTTACCATCAGGGTCAGCGAGGTCAGCCTCAGGGCAGATGTGAAGCTGGGGGTGAGAGCAGGACTAGGCAGTAGACTTAGAATTAGTGCTCAGAGATGAAACATCCTGCGCATGTCCTTAGAGGCCACCCTCCACCCCACTGTGATTCCAGGATTTGTCCTAACCTCCTCTTCTGTCTTTTTGTCTCTGCTGTCCCTCGGGCTGCCAGGCCAGCAGCAACGCCCACAGGTAACCTCCCTGCTGCCTGTCTGCTCTCCCTGCGCTGTGCCCTCTCTGTGCCCTTTGTGCCCACAGCAGTGGGGCCCCAGGGCGGCAGCAGCCCCTTCCTGTGCCCTCTAAGCTTTCTCCTTTCACAGAGACGCAAGCTCTTCTCGAATAGCAGCCAGGCTAGGGCAGCCTCTGCCACTTTGATTCACACCTAAGCCATTTTGCTTTCCATCTGGGAGAGGGGTTGGGGGCCAAGGGGGTGGGAAAGGGAAAGCAGGCTGAAGGGCCTCCTGGGGGGCTTCCACCGATGGCCTCCATGCTCTGCCTGCAGCCTGTTCGAGAGTGGCATCAACTGGGGCCGAGTGGTGGCCCTCTTGGGTTTCGGCTACCGCCTGGCCTTGTACGTCTACCAGCGTGGACTGACCGGCTTCCTGGGCCAGGTGACCCGCTTCGTTGTCGACTTCATGCTGCATCACTGCATTGCCCGGTGGATCGCGCAGAGGGGAGGCTGGGTGAGTGCCCAGCCCTGGCAGCCTTGTGTGTGCTGCCGGGGCTGCCCCTGTCCCAGCCCCTCCCACCCCCTCCAGTCCCTTGGTGCCTGCACACACTGCCAGCTCTCTCTGACCACTCTGTCTCTCCTGGCAGGTGGCAGCCCTGGACTTGGGCAACGGCCCCATCAGGAACGTGTTAGTTGTTCTGGCTGTGGTTCTGTTGGGTCAGTTTGTGGTACGAAGATTCTTCAAGTCATGACCCCAGGAGGGGCTCTTTGGGGTTCCAGCTGAGACCCCTACCTGGACTTCAGCTAAGCCTTCTTCCCTTACCACCTCCCCGCAGGGGCCCTCCCCTCAAGAGTACAGAAGCTTTAGCAAGTGGGCCCTCTGCTTTGAAGTGCCCCTGCTCGGGGGCCAGTCAGGCCTCTGGGGCACTCCAACACTTCATGGTGCTAATGGGCCCCGTCTCCGGGCTCATGGGCCCCGTCTCTGGGCTCAGCTCTGTCTGCTGGGCTTTGGGGAGGTTGATAACTTAGGGAAGAAAGAAGCTGGGAGGCACTTTCCCCCAAGAAGTCCTTAATGGTTTTAGCTTTTTATAATGCCCTTAGAAGGACACCTCCCTCACCCTATTCCTACCACTCTGCCCCAAGCCAGGACATCTAAGGTGCAGGCGGTTAGTAGGCCTACCCTGTGTTGCCCAGGATTCAGCTGTTCCGGAAGCTCA